GCAAAATGACAATGATACATAAATGAACAAAGGACTACTAGCAGTTACTGACATGCCAGCTCCAGACCTCAATTAAACTGATTGAAAGATTATGTCTTCATCATAAGAAAAACAAGCACAATCCCTCCCGTTAGGGATTTAGTATCATACCATCATAAATATATGAGAAGAAAATAACCCGTATCATGCCAACAACTGGTTTTAGAATAAATGTGTTTATTTCCGATGCAAAGACCCTATGAGTGAATCAATATTAATTCCAAAATATGCCATCTTTAATAACCTGACAACAGTATCGTGACTATATCCCTTCTGAATAAGTCTGTTTCAAGGTTTGGTTTGCTTTTGAGGTGAATGCCGACATTTTTGTGCTTTGTAAAGAATATTACCATAAAATATTGGATGTGAAATACCTGAACGTATAAGATGTCTGCATGTTGATTTATATTTAGGAATGATGTCCATGTACCGATGATAAAATTTAGTAAATGTTTTGACTAGTTTGTGATATCGAAAACCCTGGTGTAATAATTTTTCAGTAATACAGAGATTTCTTTCGTTGAAATAAAATACGTTGTTACATACACGAGCGAATCGAACAAGTTGAGATATATTAACACCATAAGATGGCGACAAGGGAACGTCACCATCTAAAAATGGATAATTAACAATAGGAAATGAAAAATCATCTCTTTTATCATAAATTTTGGTATTAAGCTTCCCGTTAAAGATAAAGATATCAAGATCCAGGAAAGGGCAGTGTTCATTGTTAGTATTAGCTTCATTAGTCCCCTACCGACGAAGTCGAAGGGGACTTTAGGTTTGCACTCCGTCCGTCTGTCCGTCTGTCCATCTGTCCGTCTGTCCATCCGTCAGTCCGGCAAATCAGCTTTCCACACTTTTTTCTTCGTTCTTAAAGATATTGATTTGATATTTGGTATATAGTTTTATCATCACAAGTTATAGATCAAGTTCGAATTTTGTTCCAGTCTGATGATTTAGTCCAGAGTTATGGACCATAACTCTGGACCATATCTAATGTTAGAGTACTATGTTAAACCATATTTCTGTACAAAGGGAGATAACTCATTTTTTTTAAAGACATTCTTTGTTAAATTATTAAAAAGAATTTTTTGGCAGGTTTGTTTGTTATTTAATATGAACTAATTTTCTGAATGCTATATATATAAAAAAAAATTATGAAGAGAAATCCTTTAATTAGATAATAATCTATTTTTATTAATGTATATATTTCAATACATTACATTGTGTAGATAAAAGTTGTTGACATTTTATAGATAAGTTACAAATCTATATTAGTTTGTGACAAATGAAAGAAAAAATATTTGGAACTATTAATTATATTTGATTATAATTTGAAAATAGATATACACTGTATTACATCATATCTAATTTTAGAGAACTATTAATCATATCTAATGTTTTTTTCACTCATATAATCAGTTTTCCACACTGTTTTTAGTCATGCTTGAAGATATTGCCATGATATTTACTTTTTGTTTACACCATGACAAGTTATAGAACAATTTAGCATTTTGTTCCAATAAAATGAATTTTTACCCAGTAGGGGACTATGTATTGCCATGCAATACTCTCAGAATGCTTGTTTAAAGTCAGTTCGGCAGGATAAATCTCTTTAGTGTACATACTAAAGTCAACCAGACCAAAGAGCAGACAACAGCCGAAGGCCACCAATGGGTCTTCAACGCAGCTAGAAAATCCCGCACCCGGAGGTGGTCCTCAGCTGGCCCCTAAATAAAATTGTGTACTAGTTCAGAGAAAATGGACGTCATACTAAACTCCAAAACATATAAATGAACTAAAATTAAAAAAACATACAAGACTAACAAAGGCCAGAGGCTCCTGACTTGGGACAGGCGCAAAAATGCGGCGGGGTTAAACATGTTTTGTGAGATCTCAACCCTCCCCCTTTACCTCTAGCCAATGTAGAATAAAGAAACACATAGCAATACGCACAGTAAAACTCAGTTTAAAAGAAGTCCGAGGATATGTCTGTTTTCAATCAACAACAACAAAAAACTTCCTTAACTAAATCCCCGAACTTAAGTGTTGAATTATTGACACTTTTGACTTACTATATTTATTGCAGAAACCACTTATTTTACAATAAATCTTTCGAATTTCATGGATTTATGATTTAATTTTCCTTTAATCATTCAAGCTAATATGCAAATAAAATTTATGGTTTCGGGTAACTAAGATGTGTGCGTGCTTATGTAAATATATAGAAAAACCTGTAAATAGTTATCAAATGTACCAGGATTATAATTTAATACGCCAGACGCGCGTTTCGTCTACATAAGACTCATCAGTGACGTTCAGATCAAAATAGTTATAAAGCCAAACAAGTACAAAGTTGAAGAGCATTGAGGACCCAAAATTCCAAAAAGTTGTGCCAAATACGGCTTAGGTAATCTATTCCTGGGATAAGAAAATCCTTAGTTTTTCGAAATATTCAAAGTTTTGGGTGTCTGTCCAGCATGGAGATTTTTTAATTTATAAATGCATGGCAAATAAGGCAAAAAATGTGATGTCCTGATACAAATCTAATTCTCACCTTCAGAATCCTGCTAATGTCAGGCAAGAATTTTAGGCAAATTTCAAGAGATAAATGATATTCAATGAATTAGAGCCTTGTCCGCACCTATCCTTACCATCAAAATCGAAAGATATTTTTGTTTACATAAAACTGAATGTTTCCCCACTTTGATTAGATGAAATCAAGAGAGGAGACCCCAATTTTGACTTCTGATTGGTCCCATATTTTAAGGAAATCCCCAACCTGTGTTTGCAACTACTTACTAATGTAGTATAATAGCCTAGAATTTACATTCATTAGTTTTTTCAGTCCACATGATGCAATTATATATTTTGTTACTTAACTATAACAAAATTTCTGCGTGGTCACATGTGGGTACACCAAAACTGGTACCTGCCACCTTATAGTAATACAATTGTTTAAGAAATGTTTTACTTTAAGCAAACGAATTTGGTGCCAAAGCAGAGTCCAGAAATTTTGCTTTTAAAACTGATTTCTTTTAACATTTGACGAGAAAGTATTAAATGAATATGTATAAATGTGTAACAGCTATTGGAAAAAAAGCTCAAAAATATGTTTAATACCGCCTTTTTGTGTGCCCAAGTCAGTGGACGTCGTTGGTATCTTTCTGTTATAAATGATTTTTATTTATAATGTTATAGCTTAAATTAGGCTGTTGGTTTTCTTTTTTGAACTTTTTCCTATTTTGTTATCCCGGGGTCTCTTACGGATTGGAAACAATCAGTGGCAGGTGCAGTGCATATTAGTTCATTAAGAAAGTATTGAGCAAAATATTCATCTCAAATATTCAACGATGATTTTAAGAGTTATGGACACTCGATATCTATTAGAACAATGAAACCGATCTGTTGATGAAGGAAAACATCAGAGATTATTTTAAAACTAAATGTAATATCCATAAACTGTTATATTCTCCCATGTGTGAAGCTAAGTTTGACTTTTATCCCATTTTTCTGTAAACATGATTTTGGAAGGTGAATGGAAACGCATTTAATAAAAGTTAGTCAATACAATGGGACCACCAAGTATCATAAGTCTAAGAAGGACACAAAACAACACGGCCTAACGAGATTGTCGTAACTTATTTTTTAATTTGTGCCTAAATTTCACTTTTTTTCATTATTAAAATGTTGGGTTTTTTTTAGCTTTTTAAACCAAATCTATACGCCAATCAGAAGTACTTAAATTCACCAAAAAAATTCCAGGCTTAAATAAACTATGATTTGATTTCCGAGCGCACAACAATTTGTATGGAATAACGTTTATCAAATGTCATCGATAACATAACAAGAAACGCATTATAATAAGTGTTTGAAAGCATAAAAACCTAAAAGGACATTAAAACAGTCAAAACCATTTGGGGTAAATATTCATGAGGTAGTTATAACCTTAAAAAGTATATATTTATCATGCTCAATTAAAGCAGAAATAAATATAATGATTTTCAAATTGGAAGGTTGGTCGATTTTAAAGTTACCGTATGTTCAGATATTCAGTTTAACGAGTCTTTGGTTTTTATAACCAAATACAGTTATCAAAAGTGACTAAACACTAACTGCAACGTTTGGTTGAAAGTACCCAATAGCTCAATGTCAATGTAATTCATTATTTGGTTCATATCTTCTTAATATTTAAAATATATTTCTCTTCTTCTCTTCAAAATAACTGGTTTAAGGTCTTTTGAATCCAATTTCAGTATTCAATTTATGTATGTTGCAGGATAAAGCCTTTCTCTAACTACTGTTGGTTTCTAACGATAAAATGTTCGTTGTGTTTAAAATTTTAGCAATTTAATCTTTGTATATTGACTGTCATTTTATTCATAACTTGTCTATAATCAGGATTATATGGAGGATTATTTAAATTGTCAAGACGTTCGGCTATTGCTGAAAATCGAATTTGATCCTCCAAATTTGTTTTCCTGATTTGTATCGTTTGTAAGATTGGCTTTGTATTTTTTCTGCGGGATTTTTGGTAAAATGTAAAGAAGCACATATATGATTTCCTGCATATTTGTATCTGATTACACCTAAAAGAAGCCTTCTAAAAATTCACCGCAATATCTAATTGCCGAAATGCCGGATTGACGAAAATTAAACAAAACATGCAAAGTCCACTTGTTAAAACACAATAACCGTCAAGTCTATTCGAATATTATTCACTATGGCCCAGAAAAAAACCTTCAACAAAATTGACACGAATTGCTTTGTTCTTTTTCGGGTGTTCACTAAAACATCATTAAGTAGCATATTATGATTTACGACAAATTTGAATTTAAGCAGCATCGGTTTCTCGAAAATTTGTTACCGAAAAGTATGATGAAAAGTGAAACAAACAAGCCACAATAACCAGATAGTACCTACCTTCATTTAGACAGCAATTATTGGAATGCGACAAATTGGGATTATTTTTTAATCGCAAGCAATATAGGTTTCGATGAATCAATAAATACTTTATTTTCTAAAAGAAATTGAAAAAGGTACAGAAAAGGGACCACAATACATTTAGCATACAATGGTTGGGTGATACATACATTGAGTAAATTAATACAAAATAGACAATACAAATAATAATAATGATAATAATAATAATAATAATAATAATAAAAATAATAATAATAAAAACAATGATAAAAAGATAAACAAATGAAATGCTCAGGAACTAAGAGGACTAACTTTTTTCATTTATTACTCTAATAAATTTACAGTCTTCTTAATGTGGAAATCCTTTTTGTATAAAGCAGAGAGTGAAATTAAGCGGTGTTTTAACACATCGAAGTATGGACAAAAATAAAGACGATGACATAAATATACATATAGATATGATATTTTAACAAATGCGTGATATAGAAACTACCTTCATTTGTCATTATTATTCTTTGTGTAACTTGAAATATTTAAAACATTTCCGTATACTTATATACGATTGTACTGCATGACATACACTATGATATGATATATCAATATATTGTATTTACATGTTTTATATTTGCTTTCTTATTTAATTACTATATATGGCAATTGAAGCAATTGAAGCAATTAAAAAAATAATTAATGCAGAATTACTGTATCAAAATTCAATAACTTTTTCTGGTAATTTTACCCCTATCTTTTCGAAATGTTATAAAGTTTAACATGGTTGCCATCAATTTCTGCAGCAAGAATCTTCAATTCTGGTTGGTATGCAAGATACCTCGGTCTTTTAACTCTATTATCCTGGTCGAGAAGATGATAAATCAATCCATCAGTTGTATTCATCTGATATATTCTGTTTACTTCACTGCTTGCCACGAACAGAATATTATTGAACATAACGATTCCCCGTGGACTCTTCACTTTTACTGACCAACATAAATTCCCTTTAAAGTCAACGCTGTGAATGGATTCATTTACAATATCTACAACAAATACGATCTTTTTCACAAAGTCCAAAGCGAGACGTATTGTATTGCCGGTGAACTGCCCAAAACTTCTTGTATTTCCTGGTATGACAAACAACTCCTTTCCGCCCAATTCATAAATGCGAATGGCACCATCTTCCCCTTCTCCACTCTCCACGGCAAAATGTTCCTTATGATATGCAATACTGTATGGTTTTTCTTTTACTTTGAATGTTTTATACGTACGTATCTTATTATCAATTCTGAAAATTCTTATCTCCTTTTTATCAGCAATAGTTACCGCTATGAGATCATTTGGTGTGCTTGAAATACCTCTTGGGTCGTCTTTCAGTTCTCTAGCCATTTCAAACTTCAGATCACGTTTGAATACCTTCAAACTTCGATTTTTGTAATCAGCAACGACAATTTTACCATCAGACAGAATTGCTATTCCTCGGACCCTCGTAACTTCTTTATCAGCAGGAGCAGAGCTCATTAATTCATTCGCAAATTGTCCCATGAATGGACCGTTATCTTGTACTTGTGCTTGAAATGGATCATCACGTTGTTGAGTAAATGCCAGTGACCTGCGATCAGCGCCAACACTTTGACGATCGGACACTACTGATATGGTTTCATCTATTGGTAGTTGTTTAGCTGCGATGGCGATATGGTGTTTCGTTGCTTTAAGTGAGGAATGTTTGTTTGTACAGTTGGTACAAAGTAACTGTTTGCAGTCGATACAAAGACTTACTGCCGGTTCACCACAGTCATTACCACAATTGGCATTCACTGAGCTTACATTATAGTCGGTTATGTCGTGTGATGCATCCACCAGGGTATGTGAGCGGGTAGACTTCAGTTTTCTGTGATACGACGTGCACTCGTGACAAAATGCTTGGTCGCAATTTGCACAAAATACTTCCAATGTTTCCGCAAGTTCATCACATCCATCGCAAACTTTTGAAACTGTTGCCATATCTACATGATATAGATGTAAATAAATATAATTTAGTACAAGGGACTAGAATGGTTTACTATTTTTATTGGACGAATTTGTTTAACAGCAGCAATTTATTAGTGGCATAATGACGCTGATCGTTAACATTGTAAATTAAAACAATTCGATGAAACTCAAAGCTAGCATACGATATCAAAATCTTAGAGAAACAATGGAAACATATCATCAAAATGGGAAAATTTAACATTACTTCCATATATTTGAAGTAAATGGAAAAACATGGCCTTTACTACGAGGAAGTTTCAAATTAAACTACTTGTATGCATCAAAACATATACCTATAATGCAGTATTTCACAGTTCAATCATTGGGAAATTTCTGATTAGAAATAAAACATATAAACTCCCAATATAATGAAAGACTAAAATCAACTTGAGTCTTAATAAATAGTATTAAATTTTAGACAGAAAATATCAACATTATTTGTCATAATCCATCCTTCCAACCAGCCATTAACAAACATTAAATCCAGTTTAGATGATTTTAGTATAAACGGAGAAATGTTCACAGCAGTTTTATTATCGCTATTTTCATGGATACGCGAAAAATACTTGCACGAATATTTGATGGAAAATCGATTCATAAGAGAATAAATAAAACCTGGAAATCGCGAAGTAAAAGCTGTGTGAATTTTAATTGCAAATAAAAGACTGAGCGAAAATTTACCGGTTTAAGGTATTTTAACGTGATTTGAACTAATTTTTCGCATACCTTTGGTTATTGATATTAACAAAAGCATGATATAAGGTACCATTTTATTATATATATCTAAATATCACAATTGAATAATAAATCGATCATATGTTTAAATAAAAATGAATAAATCGAAACATCTCACTGGTTGCATTTGTCATTTTGTTCATACATTAGATAAAAGAGCATAACAAGTGTACCTATCTGCTTACCTGTTTAAACTCAGTTATAACACACCTTTCGCGTTTGGTTAAATTATATATATATATGTATCAATAAATCTATTCTATTTATTCGTCTATTTTAAAATACACAGGGTTTGAAGAGAAAACGATATTTAAAAAGTCTACCTTTCTAAGAATCTGAGGTTTACCAAATCAAAAAGATTCCAGTAATTGATGAAAATGAAAAATCGTAACAAAGTAAAAGAAAATTTCACTTCTCATCATGCTTAGTTGAACCAAATCAACTGATGGCTACACCATCTGCTTCGGTGAAATTTTCTATTTTTTTGTTAATTTTCAGTATATAAAATTATCAAACTCCCTCTGGCAAAGTTGGCCTGGCATTCATCCTTTAAAAATATTTTATGCATTTTGGTTCTCGATCGCACATGAATGTTATTCCAGGAACACGTATCGTGCTACCTGATATAATTATATTTAAAAATAAATGAAAAATACACTGCATGCGTCCGAAGCATTTTTTGTATTCACCTTCACCAGGAACACTCAAAGCAAAATATTTAAAATCAAAGGATTAATTAATATCAAAACGCGTGAAGACCTATATGACCTTACGGGGCCTAAAAGACGAATCTATCTAAAGTCAACTTTGGTTTATAATTTTGTATGCCAGACGCGCATTTCATCTACAAAAGACCCACCAGTGACGCTCGAATCAAACATTTAAATTGCCATATCATTTACACTTTATGATATTATATGAATACCACATAGCTGAGAGGGTTATAGAGTAGATTGTTACCCCGAGATAACATTGTCAACCGATGCGAAGCTAGGTGGGTAAATCCTTCCTTCGTCTGAAACAAGATAATGTGTTATGTAAGGGTTTGGCGGACGACCTCGCGACATGACGTCTTATTTAAAAGGATCAGTGACCTTTAACACAGGTTTATTATTAATCATGTCTGATTTGCTTAAAAGTGAGCTAATGACTTGAAGCATTGTATTAATCATGAATTTTGACGCCTGAAATTTTCAGTAAATATCAGTTTTTCAAAAGTCAATGTAACCATATATTTACCTCATAATTAATATTCCACTGTATGTATGAATGTAAAAATGAATTGCTTAACAAATATTTTATTGGTTTGGACTATTCAACATGACATTGAACAAAGCATCATATTATGTTACCTCAATTTTAATTTGCACTCATGGTCCACGATTATCTTTCAAGGTGATATAGCAATAATCTAAGTAAAATTAAACAATGAAACGTATTCATACGATATCCCAGGGCTTGAGTTTCCAATCAAGATTTCCTTAATAAATGGTTGCTGCTCACAATGAAACTATGGTGTTCGTGTTGTTTAAAATTTAGTTATCTTTTGTAGTGGTTTTTGTTTTGTTTGTTGTATCTTGGTATTTTTGTTGGTTTTTTTTGGGGGGGGGGGAGGGGGGTTGCCATTGTTTTGCTTGTTTTTCTTCAAATTGTGTTTGTATTGCCCTCTTTGTATCGCCTTCCTATTTTTTATATATAAGTTCAAATAGAGTGGATGTAAATAATTATAGGCAACCGTAGGGCCTTCAACAACGAGAAAAACCCATACCGGATAGTCGGCTATAAATGCTTAATCTATTCTGACGTAAAAGAAACATGATACTGATGTTTAGTAAGCAAATTTGTTTGAAATCACATTAACTCTTAACACCTATTATTGTAAATATAAAGACTAGTTGTTCTCACTGTATGTTTAATTTACCTTGGACCATGCACTGATATTCGGGCTGCAAAACCCAGATTGATCAATATATTGATAGTAAATATGATTTAACGTAAATGTTTGTTATAAGGAAAAACAGATTTTCCAGTTTTATTTTTAAATTTTACCTGCGGTATACGAAAATTGATTTCAATACAAGAAATTCATACAGGTGACGCCATATTGTAAAACGTAAAAGTAAACAAAGTTCTGTTTTGCAACTTCAGTTCAGGAAGACGGATAAGCGGTAAGTTGATTCGGGAATCAATTACCTGGAAAGTTACCATAGATTTCAATAAAAATAGCAACGAATGCATGAACTACATTTTTTTTTATGAAGTTTTTGAGTTGTCTTAAGGACTTGTTCATTTTACTTGATGCGATCAAAATCAATTAAATCCTTTTTATTTTTACTGTAGGAATGGAAGCTGCACCAAACGCTTGTGACGGCTGCGAAAAGGATGAAAAGGTAGAATCATTTTGCGTCAATTGTGAGCAGCTTTATTGCCAGGAATGCACCGCTTATCATATGAAATGTAAAACCACTCGTTCTCACGTCTTACTGGATGCATCACATCTTGATACAGATATATCTCATTCTTCTACTGATGTCAAATGTGGCAATGAATGTGGGGAGCAGGCAGCAATTCTTTGTCTAGATTGTAAACAGTTACTTTGTGGCAACTGTACACAGAAACATTCAAGGCTTAAAGCAACCAAAGGACATATTGCAATAACCGCAAAACAACTCGCTAGAGACGAAACGACCTCATTAATTTCCTTTGGTGCTTATTCTGAAAGAAGAACTTCTGTAGTTTCACATCCACAGGAGCTAGTGCATGCACAAGTTCAAGTTGAGAAAGGTCCGCACTCGGGTATGTTTACAAATGAGTTCATGAGTTCCGCTCCAGGAGACAAAGAAGTAACAAGAGTTCGTGGAATAGTAATTCTCTCCGATGGCAAAATTCTTGTTGCCGATTATAAAAATCGAAGTTTGAAACTATTTAACAGAGAATTGAAATTAGAAATGGCAAAGGATATAAAAGAAGATCCAAGAGGAATGGCTGCTACTGCTAACGATTTTGTAGTAGTCACTATTGCCGATAAAAAGGAAATAAAAATATATAAAGTCGAACATAACAAGATACGTACTCACAAAACGGTTAAAGTGAAAGAAAAACCTTACAGTATTACTTACAATAAAGACCACTTTGCGGTCGAACACGGTGAGGGAGAAGATGGCACTATTCGTATTTATGACCAAAACATTAGAGAAATATGTGTCATACCGGGTAACACCAGACACTTTGGACAATTCACTGGCAATACAATACGACTTGCCTTAGATTATACGAAACAGGTCATATTTGTAGTCGACATAGCAAAAGAGTCCGTCCATTGTGTCGATTTTAAAGGTGGGCTGATCTGGACAGTGAAAGTGGGAAGTCCCAGGGGAATTGTTTTCCACAACAACATTCTGTTTGTTGCCAGCAGTGCAGAAAACAAGATAAACCAGATGAATGCTGTCGATGGATTAGTCTACTCTATGTTAGATGAAGACAATAGAATTAAGCGTCCTCGGTACATTGCCTACAACCCTGATTCGAAAACACTTGCTGTTGAAATCGATGGGAACCATATAAAGCTTTATACCATTACAAAGTGTGATAAATGAAATGTGCAAGTCTTACCAAATGTAAAAGTATGAGTTAACTGTTTTCATCCTCTGATAACTATTTATTTACTACTTATCTTGCCATCTACTACATCAAGACAGAACGTAAACAATCCTCAAAGATACCAGGCTTACCATTCTAGTATGTACGTCTTGAATTGAGTGAATTGAAACAGTTGAAGGGCCAAATCAATTACGAAGTTGGAGAGCATTGAAAACCTTAAATTATACTGTTTATAATGTTATTTATAAGTCCCCAAAAAACAATTGGATCAAATTGGTTGGTAAAAAATTTACTGAAATACAAGCATGCAGTATTTTTCAATTAGTATCGCATGAACTATTTTACGCGTCACTTTTTGAGTATAATTGACCTTGATAAGATATTATTTTGTGTTCAGGTATTTTACATAATTTTCAACGTATAAATAATATATTACTTGCAGTGACTTGTTTATGCTGCTCGATTTAATATTTTTTAATTTGTTTTGCTGTCTTCTTGTGGCATTAAGTAAAACATCATACACATGAGTAAAATCATACATGTAACACAACACAAAATCGTTAATGCACTTTTGAATAATGTACGTATTGACTACAATAGAAAGATTTATAGATTCTATTTCAATATATTTATACATGAATCACTTAGGGACGACATCAAAAGATCAATGTAGGATAAAAAACTTAAATCAAATAGTTTGGGGGTTGAGGGAGGGGGGGGGGGGGGGGGGGGGGTTAACATTGCTGCAAGTTTTGTTTATCCAAAATCGATTTTACATATATCCATATTGGTCAATCAATTTTTCCCAAATTAAGTTAAGAGGGGGGTGGGGTTAGTGAAAAAACTATGTGAATTAAGTTTTTTATCCTACATTGAACTTTTGATGTCGTCCCTTATGAAAATAAAAAGATTGGTTTTCAAAATTTCAATGTTAAATTCTCTAGAAATCTTACTTCCTGTTACAATTTGTACCTAGTAATCTATTTTTTTTTTATTTAATGGATTAAACTACGGGAAAGAAATTCACAAATAACGGTCTATATGATTGTTGTATATCTTCTACCCAAACATTTCACCCTTGGAGTGGGTAAGAATCTGTTTAATCTTAGAACAAGGATGCGGTATTGGGAAATTTTATCTCCGAAAAATTATACTTGCTCACTCTTACTAACTTTGGAATCGACGTTGAATTTCAGCGTCCGTTAAAGAAAAGCTGTTGCACCCAAAAATAAACGTAAAAACTAAAATCAAGTTTTATATAAGGAATTTACCAGAAAACTGTCTCTGTTCTGAAGAAGTCGTAAATTAATTGACGGTTTTATAGTTGTAAATGTCTGTGTCATTTGGTCTCTTGTGGAGAATTGTCTCATTGACAATCATACCATATCTTCTTATTTTTATATCATAAAATAAACTTGGCTAATACAAATGTTACAGAAAATGATATTAAGAACATGTATGTTCATTCGTAAATGTAATTAAAACAGAGATATCTACAAGATTATCATCTAAAGTACTAGTTGTATGTCGGAAGGTATAAATACTTTCACCTCTTTTATTTTGTATATTTATAAACAATGAAGTTAAGAAGTTAAACATAGGTATATAATATTTTGATAATGATAAAGTAAGCATGTTGGAACATGTATATGCAGATGATCTTGTATTTTTTACTGAGAAAGAGATTGACTTACAAAAATTATTAGAAGTTTTGAATATGTGTTGATGTACATGACCTAGCTGCTAATTTAGAAAAATCTAAAATAAAACATTTTATAAGAACAGTATATATCTAGATCAAATTTTTCATTTGTTTTTAATTGTAACCGTATTGATATTGTCTCAGTATACATATATGATGATAAAGCAAAAGGCAGTGCCAAACGCCAATAGTAGATCTTTGTTTGTTATGTCTAAATGTACAGCTAACGGTAGTTTTTAATATTGTAATTTTCCAAAATTGTTTAATACTCTTAACTTTGATGTATAAATAGTGTAAAAATTAAACAGAAGTGATTTCGCAAAATGAAGATGTGGAATAGCGCCCATCAGAATTGAAACTGCTCGTTACGAAAATATTGACATAGAAAATTGAGCATGTTTTAAACGTACTCATGCAGTTGAGATGAAAAAACATGTTTTGTTAAATTGTCTTGTATATGCAGATATCCGTAACGTTATTGTTTAATCATGCTGGTATTGTTGATGAGATTTATTTTTGACATGTTTAATAATGAATAATGAAAAGCTGATATTCCCTTTTACAAATGAACGTACCTTGACCTATAATGGTTTACTTTTATAAATTGTAACTTGGATGGAGAGTTGTCTCATTGGCACTCATACCACATCTTCCTATATCTATATATGGTGTTTTCTACTGCCAACATATGCAATGTTTGAAATTTTATAAAGGCGAAAATGTCGTTTATACTCATGACAGCTGACTTGTATTTCTATTATATAAATTGTTTTATAGTCTCTCATAACTCTAAATAAAAAGGCTTGTTATTAACTTGTGTTTTTACTATGTTGTCTATTTTATCTGTAACAAGTAGTTAGAATTGAGTAAAGTATTTGTTTTGTCTTGTCCTGTATTCATATTTTCGAAAAGTTTGTCTACTTTCATTTCTATAAGTTAAAAGTTCCTATTCAGCTGGTTGCAGTCGTATCTTATACACAAATCTCATTAATTTGATAAGTAAATGATATCTTGACTATGGAAACAATTTGGCTTAATAAGTGTTTAAAAACCTAATTAATAAATTCATTTTCATAATTATTTAAAAATAAACATTTACTATTTATTGTGTTAACCTGTCCTGTACATTGAACTCTGCAAATGAAGTTGTATTTTCAACAAACAGCAAATTAATATCCACTAGTTTTAAAAATATCATTTATTTTTTTTTTACTTTGAGTATGGTGTTTGCATTCATTTAAAGCAATGTCTGTATAAGATATATATATATATATATACATTCGTTATTCTCTAAAAACATTTAGATAATACTGAACGAAAAAAATACTCAACAAGCCATGATGCAACATAACTGCATGTGTTATTCTTAATAAAAGTAATTTGAATTTTTAGAAGACCAAGTGATAAGTTACCAATAGTTTAAATGACACTGTAAAGTACATACAAAGTCAAAGAAGGAAGATCATCAATGTTTTCCTTGAAATATATCTCGAAGGAAGAGAAAATAGTCCATATCATCATTATAAACTGTTGACACAGAGATATGTTTCGTCTGCATGTATGTAATATTGATAGTACAAGCATGAAATGTATATGCAAACACTTTTAACATGTAAACTATGCAAAAAGTTGCAAGGTCATTGCAACTCATGAGATGTGCGTTCTTTCGAAGAAATGCTCTTGGCAACTGATTATTACTAGTAAATAACTTTCTGCTTTATATAATCAAATTGGATCTGCGATATATATCATTGAACGTAACACATGTTTCGTTTATTTCCTACACTGCACTGAAATTCTGAAGACAAAAATACATTGGTTCTGCGCATCATAAGTTTTAATTGTGTTTACCATTCCGTTATTATATGAAATCCGCTTATAAGTACAGTGAATAATATTTGAGTGCAAGAAGCATGATGTTTGTTTCAGCAGATGAAGTACTTTGTGAAAGTTTTATTATCATAACAAGCATTCTGTGAGTATTGCATGGCAATACATAGTCCCCTACCGGTTTAAAATTCATTGTATTGGAACAAACTTCTAACTTGATCTATAACTTGTCATGGTGTAAACTATATAACAAATATCAAGTCAATATCTTCAAGCATGACGAAAAAAAGCGTTGAAAACTGATTATTTATGTGAATTTTCTGTCCAAGGACCATAACTCTGCACAAAATCATCAGACCGGAACAAAATTCGAACTTGATCTGTAACTTGTCATGATAAAACTATATACCAATTTTCAAATCAATATCTTCTAGCATGACGAAAAAAAGTGCTGAAAACTGATTATTTGAGTGAATTTTCTAAGTCAAAGGACCATAACTCTGCACAAAATCATCAGACCGGAACAAAATTCGAACTTGATTTGTAACTTGTCATGATAAAACAATACACCAAATATCAAATCAATATATTCAAGCATGAAGAAAAAAAGTGTGGAAAACTGATTTGCCGGACTGACGGATGGACAGACAGACAGACAGACAGACAGACAGACAGACAGACAGACAGACGGACGGCGTGCAAACCTAAAGTCCCCTACGACTTCGGGACTAATAAAAGAGATGTTGGTGGAATTCAATCATACGGTTTTTTTACTAGTAATTGCGTCTGTTAAAGCGATATTACTGAGTTGAAAAGTGGGCTATTGATGAATAATACAGATTTTCTTACCAGACACTGAACGTTAAATAAGAAACAAGTAAATCTTTCACTTGAAATTGTGTTAAAAATCTCGATATTACAGAGTTAAGTGAATTTCCTAGATTGTTTTTCCCAGCGCCTTTTGTATGGCCATTGGTTAAAGTTTAGAACTCACATCACTAGTTAGACATCGCCACATGTTATTGTGCTTTTCATCAGTCAAGACCCTGGCTTTGATTGTCCATTAATTCCATGAAATATTTTTTTGTATTGATATCAGAGATTTTGTTGTCTTTAAACCATTCATTGAAAACGTGTGTATGAGATTTAAGACTTCCCATTTGTGGTAATGACACTTATTTAAGACAGCATTGTATATCTTAATGGTTGTTTGTCATTGACTTGTATTCCAGATATGAATAGCTTAACATGGTAAATTATTTTCACGGCCTAGATCTTAAATCTTGACACTGAAGTTAGTTCCGAACAAGGTCAGGTGATACCTACGAGATTGCAACGAATTTGCATCTAATCACTATTACTACATAGAAGCAAAATAATCAAAACATCTTCAATGAGGCATGAAAATGAGATCCAGGTCAGAAGATAATTATTACATACAATTTCAAACTCAAAGATAACATCATGAAACAATAATTTACTAAAGGAACATTCGTAGACGCTCATTTAAACACCTTAACACAGCAATCCATGTCACACTTTCACCTGAAAGTTTCAAAACTATAATTAAATAATGTAGTATTCAAACATTTTTATATTTCAAATACAAAAAAGATTAAATAAAAATGACTTTTTAAAATGTTTCCAAGTTTATTATCTCATAAACTATGAATGTTACAAAATTAAATTACTGAAAAACAATGAAAAAGATGTTCATGAAGACAGTTAATCTATTTTTTCTAAAAACCCTGCTTCTTTTAACAACTCGTCCCTAACTTCTGTCAGTATTTTCCCTAGTAAGTTTCTTCCTTTCCATGTTTCCTGGTTAAGAGCTTCTGGGTCATCTGATCGAAGTCCTATTCCCCAAATCTTATCATTTCGACTGGCCAACACCAAAGTCTTTGGGTAGGTTTTAATCAGGTGTTGTTTTAAGTCCTTATTCTGGGAATACTGAAAAAATATTTAAGTACATACTTATGAAACTATTACAAATTGATATGCTTGTACTATAGTATTAAATTTTATTTTTCCTAAAAATATTCCTCTCAAACACAACCGCCTTAATGGTCTCATATAAGTGTCCTCATTCAGAGTGTGGTTCGTGAGTTAGACCCCAATCGTGTCTAACCAGACTTAAAAAGACGTATGTGAGGCTTCTCCGCTTAGCCACGACTAGTCGGCTCGATGTCAGGTCAATTTTGCCGGGTATGCCTTCCTATGGCATGTAAGAAATTCGGCTCACCAAGACTTCTAGTATAAAGCAGGTTCACATATATCACATCATCACCATCACCGATAAAAACAAGAGGCTCGAAAGAGCCTGTGCCGCACACCTATGTCTTTGTGCATCCTCAACAATGAGCAAAAACACAAAAAAATCGTAAAATCGTAATTCAAGAGCAATAAAAGAACAAAGTCGTCCCCCCCCGCGTTGCACATATTTTATATATCCAAGGGCAATAGCAAACAAACCGAAGTTTAACGGTACAAAAGTAATGCACCGACACGAAGCCGGACGAATGGACTGATGGACATGGTGATTCCTATATAACCCTTAAACTTTTTTGGGGGGAGGGGATATGAAGAATTAAGCAATCTGAGAAGTATACCAGAATACCATCAATCTAGCTATTTTCATGAATATATATTTTTATTTATAATCAAAAACAAATTGTAAATTCTTAGTGAAACTGGATTTTCGAACTTGTCCGAGACATTGCTGAAAAAAGCTATAATACAAGTTTCATAAAAATTGGCAAAAATTGTACACATGAGAGCGCTAACAATGAAATTTTACATATAATTAATATTTCCAAGGGGCATAACTCTTTTAAAAATAGTTGATCGGCACTGATTTCATAACTCGTCCGAGACATTGCTGATATAAACCTATGAGACAAGTTTCATAAGAATCTGGCAAAAATTGTACACGTGAGAGCGCTAACAAGACCGGACAAACGGACGGACGCCCAGTATTTCTATGTCCCCCACAACGCGTCGCGCGGAGGACAATAACTCAATTAAGAAGTCGACTGACGGTTATTAAACGTATTTGTAGATCTTGTCTTGCTGGTCAGTTTTGCTTTTAAACGTTTCTATCTATCTATTAAAGTATTGAGATATTTTAGGCAAAAATACAAAAAATGAAAAAAAGTCGTCAATAAAGGACAATAACTCCAATAAGGGATCGACTGACAATTTCAACCAGCTGACTTATTTGTAGATCTCGTCTTGCTGATCCTTTATGCTATAAAAAGTTTCCCTCTGTCTATTATAGTTTTCAAGATAATATGCATTTATTTATTGAAAAGGGGTAAAATTTGTCATTAAAGGTAACAGGTACATAAAAAAAGAAAACAACACGCGTCCGAAGCGCTTTTCTTGATTTACCTTCATCAGGAACGCTCAATACCAATTAATTGAAAGCCAATGATGTACAAGAACCGAAGCAGTTGAAGAGCTATACGACCAAAAAGGAGCTAAAAATAGCCCAATCTATCTAAAGTCAACTTTGCCTGAGGTAGTTGAAACCTTAGTTTCGAAATAATTTCAAAATTTATAAATGGACAATTTTAGAAAGGTTTGTTATAAATCATGTCAGTACTTCGTACTGAGCTGATGAGACACTCGGGGACTGATAGTACACCAGCAGAGGTATCGACCCAGTGCTGTATAAAATGAAAACAACACGTTATAAATTTCATGCCTCCGAAGCGTAAATGGCTAATCTCACGGGATTTTATGAAATTTTGCATACAACTAGAGCATGACGGACTGCACATGAACATCAAAACAGTTATAGATATAACTTTATACTTTCTGAGATAAAGCAAATAAAATATTCGAAAAATAGTAGTACAAATGTATAGAATACACGTAAATATCGTTAAAAAGTTCAGCAATTTTGACTTAAAATTAACTTTTCTCGAAATCCTGTTCTACGAATTTTGTTTAAAAAATTATGTTATTGCTACTGAAATTTCCGTTTTATTGATATAAAATTTATAGGGGGTCACCGAATTCGTTTTTTGATCATGAAAAGTTGAATCTTCTGTACAGCGTAGAAAAACCGCCGAAAAGGCAAAAATAATCGTGACGTCGTCGATAGAAATGTTATTATTTTCGACTTTTTAAGATGTTATAAAGAGACTGGAGTAATTTATACAGCAAAAACGAATTAGGTGATCCCCTATAATTTTCATATTCATAAAACGGAAATGTTAGTGGTAATAACGTATCAATTTTAAAGAAAATTCGTAGGGCTGTTCGTTGCGGAATGACGGAATGACGGATAAGGGTAAAACTATATGGCCCCGAGCTCTTTATGGCGGGGCCATAAAAATAGCTTTGGCCCAGTACTTTCATGAAGATTTTTGTAAAAGTTACCGGACGACGCTGGACGACGGATGCCAAGTGATGAGAAAAGCTCACTTGGTCCTTTTGGCCAGGTGAGCTAAAATGTCAACGTGTTAGCAAGTTGTTTTGAATGATTAATTAACTCGTTTGCAGCTTATTCGCCTATATGCTGTTTAAATGACTTCGAGTTTACTTCAGGTCATTTAGTTCACTCAAATATTTTCTATCATGATGAGGAAGTTTTCATGTTTTTTCACTGCAATTGTCGTTAACACTTGAAAACTTAAAGATTCCTCCATCACAACTTCCTTACCAGCTAAATAATATAAGTGCATACATCATTTACAAACATTTGCGCCATCCAAAAGCTAAGAAAATCCTTTTCGGAACCATATGGTATCTATTACCACATATAACACATCTTTAACCTTTAAATAAGCTAAATATATAGACAAGTTTTTAGACCGCTTACTAATTGACGACAAAGACGGACGGTGGATACTAAATGAAGGAAGGCGATAGCTAACACCGACATCATGAGCCTATGATGCATAAAGTCTCTATCAATTAAATCAATAAACATGCTTAATACTTACTACATATTAGAAGCAGATTCTGGGTGTCGTTTTCATATTACCTCTAAAAATAGCGATACAGACATGCAGGAATATTTCTCTTGAAAATATTGATTTAATGGTTACAGTGAGTTTTCAAAGTTTGGATCATGAAAATGAAAGAACGGACATATGTCGGATGGAAACTTCAGATTAAAAGGCATCTGTATACAAGATATGGATTATCCAATTTATTATTTTAGATCTTGACATCCACAGCATGTCTTTTATGTCAGATTTTCTTTATCTATAACAGCTTTCAAATTATAAGACAAAACCTGCATTTTACTCCTATGTTCTATTTTCAGCAATGTCGACCATGTTGTTTAAAAGGAGGGATAATCACGCCTGCCACGCCCCCGCCTGAATCCGACCCTGCACCAAGTGATGGGTATAGCTTACACTGGCGCTTTGAGCCAGGTGAGCTGAAAAGCATCCATGATTGAAGAATTCACACAAATATTATTTGACATATCGTCCAAAAATCGTCAATGATTGCTGATGCATCCTGCAAAATCAAGAAAAACAAATTCTACGATTGCGTCACGATTGCAATTCGATATGTACTGCACTCCAGCGTTCAATTTCCAAATGCACTTTGCTTCTCAACCACCCGTGATGGGATAGTGTCACGCTCTCTGTATCTTTGTAACAACTCTTTTTTTATGGTCTGCAGGTGGCATCGAAATGACAAATGTAAAAGAATTCAAACGAGAAAACTAACGGCCTGATTTATGTACAAAACAATAACCGAAAAACGCGTAGGGAATCCAGCAATTCACTCAGGTAACCTCTCACGTAGGGAATCCAACAATTCCTAAAATAACTAACCTCAGGTATGATGTTAACCTCTCAAGTAGGGATTCCAACAATTCCTGAAATAACTAATTTTAGGTTTGGAGGCAAGCAACCTTTCACTTAGAGTATTCTATAACTCCGAAAGTAACTATCATCGGGTTTCGTTAAACTCTAAACGTAGGGAATCCCATGATTTATGATTACCATCTTTACATGTCCTCACGTACAGAGTTCTTACAATTACTGAAACAAATGGTGGCATCCTTTATTTTCTTTTCATAAAGGGAATCCCAATATATCGGGAATAACTTATCTTAGCCATGGTGGCAATCTTTACTATATGTCTTCACGTACAGAAGCCCACAACTTCTGGAAACTTATCTTAGCCATGGTGGCGCTCTTTACTATCGGTCTTCACGTACAGAAGCCCACAACTTCTGGAATAACTTACCTTAGCCATGGTGGCGCTCTTTACTATAGGTCTTCACGTACAGAAGCCCACAACTTCCGGAATAACTTACCTTAGCCATGGTGGCGCTCTTTACTATAGGTCTCCACTTACAGAAGCCCATAACTTCTGGAATAACTTACCTTAGCCATGGTGGCACCCTTTACTATAGGTCTTCACTTACAGAAGCCAACAACTTCTGGAATAACTTACCTTAGCCATGGTGGCGCTCTTTACAATAGGTCTTCACGTACAAAAACCCACAACTTCTGGGATAACTTACCTTAGCCATTGTGGCGCTCTTTACTATTTCCTCACATACAGAATCCCACAACTTCTGATCAAACTTTGGAATCAATCTTCCAAGTCTTTTCTGTTCTGCAGGATTCTTTTCTGACATTATTGCTTCAGATATCCAATCACACTTTAGTATTTCTAAAACAAAATAATATTTTTTTTTCATCTTTGATATTTCTTTCTTTTTCAGAAGCCACTGGACGTTAAGCAACCAACAATCAATCAATCAATATTTTTCAGAAATTCAGTTGTCAAGGAACATAAATTTGTATTACAAGTTATGAATGTTCTATCAGAGCAACAGCAGAGGTTTAAAAATTTTAGAACCATTCATTCAGCTTGAGCCAAATCATGTCAAACAGCTCACATAACGGTATCAAATAAAATCATTTGTTTATTTTCTAATAAAATGGCCTATGAGAAGTATAAACTATATCAATAATCATAAGAATATATAAGAAGGAAAGCTGCATGATAAATATTTAAGGTGCAAAACAAATTTAGCAACATACAGTGACGGAATACATTTGAACTGTTATAAACCTAACTGTAAATATCACAAACTCACTTGCTTTTCTAAACATCATGTATTGTTCTGCGCAGTTAAATTTACGACCATCAACTGAGAACTCTGATGGATACCACTGACTGAAAGGTGAACTTTGTCTAAAGAAATACACAAAGTCATCTGTCTCTTTGTGCTCGAAGTCACCACGTGGTTTGTTCAATCCTGGTTTATGTCCACTTCCTGTACGTTTATTGTTAGTAGGTGAAGGAGTCCATCGGTCCCAGTCTCTGTATCCCCAGTTCAAATTAGAGTAACCCCAGTTACTATAACAACCAGGAAACATATAAGCGTTATATCCACCAGTCTGGAGTCTGTTATTACGTCGTTTGTCTGTATATGCTGTCATCTGAAAATTGAATATTTAATAATACTAATAAATCATACTTGGTTTTCAAATCAAACGAACGAACAATCGTCAGGTCTGAATGGAGACATCTAATGTCCCCACTGGCTGTAGGGTGAATTACACTCTCTCTACACCCTCGCAACAACTAAATGAATAGGCCCTCTCCCTATCCAACATACCCATCATTTTTTCAGTGGTAGCTCATATCCCCCCTCAGTTGTCACAGTCTGCCTACCTGGTAGAACCTACATATTGTAATAATTGTTAATTTGATCTCGTCCAGAATATGTATGAAATATTTGCCACTGGAAGTTATTCAATCAGCTATCAATCAGTCTATCAAAAGAAGAGCAGTTTCGAAAACACTGTTACCGACGTGTTATATAAACGATCAAATGATTGGTGTTGGTTAACTTCCAATATCGGCAAATATGATATCCATATCCAAGACGAGAACAAATAAGTGATACGATAGTGTTTTAGTTTAGCGGAGAAATGTTTGTCATGCAACGGTCTTCTGACCGACCCCACAAAAAGTTGTTAACACGCATTTTATTTAAAGCGTAGAGAGATTTAATTTGCGCCTACTCCGACCGGACTTGACAATTTACAAAATGGGAAATAAAACATTTATGTATCCCATACAACTAAATGGACTTTCCCCTTGGCACTGTACGGAAAAGTCCACATGACCATATTTTTGTATTCAAGTCAAAATTCGCGGTCTTTTGCTGGTGTTTATGATATATTGAAAATTGTTTGACTGTTTACTGTTTTTATTATTACTTTGTGGATTGTTGATATACGTCCGATTACATTAAATAAATTTTACAATAAAAATTCAGGACAGTATACCGGTACTGGATTATGTTAATTGTCAGTAATTAACATATCACGGTACAGAGAGTGGGCTGATAACAGCAATGAAAAAGAAAGACGTGTGATTATAGATTTATGGTCGTTTTGGGTAAGATAAAGATCATAAAGTTTGCCTTACACTGACAGTACACCTACCGACCAATTAAAAGGTTTTTTTTAAGTGTTCACAAGATAACAGTCCGCAGGAAGACATGCCACAAACCCGGTCACATTAGTGTTCACAAGATAACAGTCCTCAGGAAGACATGCCACATACCCGGTCACATTAGTGTTCACAAGATAACAGTCCTCAGGAAGACATGCCACATACCCGGTCACATTAGTGTTCACAAGATAACAGTCCTCAGGAAGACATGCCACATACCCGGTCACATTAGTGTTCACAAGATAACAGTCCTCAGGAAGACATGCCACATACCCGGTCACATTAGTGTTCACAAGATAACAGTCCGTAGGAAGACATGCCACATACGCTGTCACATTAGTGTTCACAAGATAACAGTCCTCAGGAAGACATGCCACATACCCGGTCACATTAGTGTTCACAAGATAACAGTCCTCAGGAAGACATGCCACATACCCTATCACATTAGTGTTCACAAGATAACAGTCCTCAGGAAGACATGCCACATACCCGGTCACATTAGTGTTCACAAGATAACAGTCCTCAGGAAGACATGCCACATACCCGGTCACATTAGTGTAACAAGATAACAGTCCGCACGAAGACATGCCACATACCTGGTAACATTAGTATGACTATGAGTCAAGCAGTTGTATTCTTAAAACTTGTTTTAGAAGATAAACAAATGTCTATTTGTAAGTCTTTGGTTTGAACCTCTGGGAATTGAACCGCTTAATGAGTTATGAATATAAACTTCGGATTCGAAAAGTGTTTTAGAAGCGTTCAGTTTTATTCCTTTTTAACTTTATTCACAACACTGAATATTTGCTTTTGTCACGACTGGTTGATTATAATTGTTTGTATAAATAACGTCCACATACAAATATGTCATGCATTTTCGCGAAGAAATTGTGTCACGATGAGGAAATCGAGTTATATATTTTAATACTAAACTAATTTGAAGATATTAAACTTACAGTATAAATATAAAGTTATTACAAACAGTAATAGATAAACATGCAGTTGCTCCTAGCTGCTGAAGTATATTGATTTTACATATCCCCCAGTGGGCTTCCATGGTGTCATATTTATTTGGACTACCATAAATTTTAATCATGTCCACGCAATAATATTTGTAGTCTGTTCCCACCCACCCCCATTTCCCCTCTCCCCGGGCCCCTGTTTAATATATTTCCACCCTGCCATTTACGATATGGTCTCTTTTTCTAAATAAACGTTAAATAATAATATTTACACGCAAAGTTACTTGGAAAGTTAATGGGGAAAAAGTATAAGGTAGTATTTCATCAAAGGAGCATACCTCAATGTACCTTAATTCTTTAAACTACTGTTGCTATTTAACGTAGCAGCAATTTATATATAATTGGTAATTAGCAGACTATGTTATAAATTTCTCAGGCCGGACGGAAAGCAAAACGAGGGGTAGGCATAGTATATGTGCCTCATACCCCTCCCCCTTTCAAACAAAATCAAACAAGCAAACAAAACCTGAAAATCTCCAAAAAACTGTAATAAAAAAGCGTGGTTTCAAAGCTTTTCTAGACATTGTTGATTGCATTAACATTTATTCTAATATAGACATTTTTTTGCTAAATTATAAATGCAATTTAGCATGAATAGAAGTATCTAAGGAATCCTCTGAAATATTCTAAGCGGCAAGAAATGGTCTTCTCCTTTTTATCATTTCTATAAATAGAGGTCTTAAACTTGCCGACAGCATAGCAGTAGCAACAATCTCCAAGTGGGCAACCACAACCAATCTTATCCGCTGTCGTTGTTCCTGTATCATAATAACCTTTGATTCATGCAAATGAGGTTATTGCCATAAAACTAGAGGACCTGCTACAAGTCTCATATTTCAAAGGAATTCAAGCTTACACGTAATACATATACACAAGTCAAATTCATTTGAGTCAATTATGTTTTTGAATGAACATAGGCAGATCCAGGGGGGCCTGGGGGCCCGGGCCCCCCTTTCGTGGGAAAAATTTGGTTGATTATATAGGGAATCACTGAAGCATGACTGGAGCGGGCCCCCCTTAGGTCAGGCAGTAGTCCCCCTCTTATGAAAAGTTCTGGATCCGCCACTGATGAATATCAAAAAGATGGTTTTAAAACTGGCGTTTGACAGGAAATAATCTAGATTGAGTGTTATTCGTAAATCAAGCTATACAATATCATAATTGTGTATGACCTACATAAATTAAATTCAGTCTTACCTTTGTACAGTAGTTTTGTCCTTTCGTTTTCAGGCACGATGCTGTAAAGGGAAGTTTTAGAAAGGGGAGTGGAACTACATTATTGTGACTTCAAGGACGCTCCACGAAAGAAGATGAAACGACACGTGTGAAACAATAAGGTATTAGTAAGTCCACCATATACTGTCGATTAAAGGTATTTTTAACTGCAATATTGTATTAAAAAATAGGATGACCGTTGATATTGAGAATTACACGAAAAATCTTCTTTACTTTAATTATCTTTAAAATTTAGCAAGACGATATGAAAGCTTACAGTTGAATATTACACAACCATTTGTTTTGTTTTTGTTTTTGTTTTTGTTTTTGTTTTTGTTTTTGCTTTGTTTTTGTGTTTTGTGTTTGTTTGTTTTTTTTTTTGTTTGGTTTTTTTGTTTGTTTTTCTTAATTGGTGTGCACTTGGATTTGTGTTAGCATTCAATAGGCCTATAACTTTGGACAAACAATAATAGCCCATCATAAAAATTTTAAAGTACCATTATTATTTTTTTCCTTAAATAATTCAAAAAAAGGTTGTTATGGTTACCAAAACACGATATGCATATCGAAAAATAATCGAAACATCATCTATTGCATGCATCATTTTCTTAAACAGATTTTGTCGAAAAGCCAACCAGATTTAATTACAATATTTATGTGAAATCAGCTTCAATGTAAATTGTTTGCACTGATGAAAAAAATATCATATAATCTCACGAGTTATGAAATACTTTGGTTGAATGTGTGTCGATTTTTGCTATTTGCCAATGTTATTAAATTCTACATAACAGAAATGAGAAGAAGAACGCAAAACATCGCAATAAAGTTTGTATAAACGCTTGCAATAGCAATTTGAATTATTCGTATATTTATAATTATACTCACAAGGATGTTTTGCCTTCAAATACAATTGTCTGAAACAATTTATTTGAAAACAGCTCCACACACACTCATTCAACCTTTTCAATAGTGCCATTGTCTACAAGATCTTACTGAGTCCAACGACTTACGAAACAAATTCATGAAGCAATGTAACTGCCGAAAAATCATAACCGACTAAGACACAAACTGCTTAAAGATACTGTATGAGCATTGCAAATGCTTTCTCCCCGTTTAAAGAAAGAAGAAATGTAGTTTTAGTAGGATTTCTCATACGACCTTTATGGTCCCCACACTTTTTTCAGTCTGTTGACATAGACTAATGGTATGAGAATGAAAGCTAAGGTGTCCCACTGTCCCAGGAAGTCATAAAAAGGCCGTTAGATGTCAAAGCAATCTCGGACTACTTAAGATGACGATAATGATCATTTGCCGCTTACCGTTCAGTTTCAATCATTTATTCACTAGTATATATCAGGATGAAAACATTCATTATTTTAAATCAGGCCGTTAGTTTTCTTGTTTTCTTGTTTTATATTTGTCATTTCGGGGCTTTTTATAGCTGACTATGCGGTATGGGTTTTGCTCATTGTTGAAGGCCTTACAGTAACCTATAGTTGTTAACTTCTATGTCATTTGTTCTCTGGTGGAGAATTGTCTCATTGGCAATTATACCACATCTTATTATTTTTATGTTAATGTGATATGAATATGATGACCCCTGTCATACTAGATCGACACGCTGAGTCGGATTTATAAGAAGTCATGTAATTCTACAAGTACACATTTTTCCGATTCCAACCCGACCAGGCTTTGTTCTTGCTCTTTAATGCCTAGTGCTAAGCGGGAAAGCAGCAGATACCAGTTTTCAAAGTTTTGGTTTGACCCCTGGGTTGAATCCATGATCCCCCGCACTCTACCAGGTTACCATAAGATGGTTTGTCGCATATCACTGTGACCTTCATATGAGATTGACATTTGACCTTACTATACAATTAGTTGAGTTTTCTGTCTCCTGTATAACTTAATTTTCCTTTGTCATATGCTTTTGATATTTGACATACGGACATATCCTCTTAAAACAATGTCTCATGCTACATTGCAGATGACTTTCACTGTTGACCTCAAGTTCAAAACATTGTTCTTAGCTATGAACTTCCGGAAAGCAAATATAACAAAAGAATTTAAACGAATAGAGAAGAAAATATATTCAAGTTTTCTATTTCTTTCAATCTGATTCACATCTTACTTTATTTAACTCGATTTGTACACATTTTGCGTAGATGTTTTCAATATGATGGGAACTATGAAGCAGTTCATATGTACAAGTGCTAGCTGTTCTCACGATCTTCAAAATATTCTGTTTGGTCATGGACAAAATGTGTGTGCAGTGCGATATGGATCCAAAACAATTACAGCAATAGAGAGGATACGGGTTTTATTTACTACAACTATTTTGCCGCGAAATACAATATCATTTTTCTTGAATAATAAATGGAATGTTATACGTAAGGCTTGTTTAATTGGTCTTCAAAATGAATGTTATTTTCACCCAGGAATACAGTAATATGTAAATGTAAAAAGGCAGAAAGACTTAATACTTGTGTAACAATTGTTTCAGATATAATGGGAAGATTTGCTGTCTTCGGTTGTAATAGGTAAATTACAAAAGGTTAATGATATTGAGCATTCATTGGATATTGGGTTGCCTTATAGGGCGATCAAGTGAGAATGGAAACGTGTGCAATTTAAATCAGTTCGTGTGTATGTTTATTTTCTTTTGTTTTTGGGGAACACTCGCAATATCTTCGGTTAATTTGAGTCATATGAAACGAGTTTCTGAATATTATAATGTTAAGGAAATTGTTGAACTAATGCATGCATTTTAATAGCTGATTATGGGGTATGAGTTTTGATCATTGTTGAAGGCCGTACGATGACCTATAGTTGTTGACACCTATGTAATTTGGTCTCTGGTGGAGAGTTCTCTCATTGGCAATCATATCACATTTTCTTATTTTTATATACATACTAAACTTTGTCCTCTGTGTAGTTTTTTGTTATATTTATTACGAATCTGTACAATCTAATTAGTTGTAGTAGTCCGCACTTGCACCTCATTTTCGTTCGGTTGTTTATATGGTCGCGACATATAAACGAGGAGCAAGTGCGAAGAAGT